AGGAATATCGATTGGAATAGATGGAGACGAAGAAATGGGCTCGAGACGTCGTTGGTGCTGCCAAACCAGCGTCTTTTACGCTGTTTCGCTCCAGCTTTATTCTCTGGATCTGGCGTGTTGTTTTCTTCGCCTTCGTTGCGACTAGTGGTCACGCAATTCGAATCAGTTGCTTTCCCTGGAGGAGGTGAGGGCGGTGGAGTGGCTTCTGTGCTTGGAGTTATCTCCACGAGTTCAGCATCACGGCACCACTTGCGACGTCTAGTATACCGGTTCCAGTTATCTTGGCCACGACGGCCATCGTTCCACTGCCATCGAAGTTAGGATTCGTATACTTCACTTAAAATTGCATTCTGAACACCCATGGGCGCCATACCTTGTTGTCATAGTATATCCAGCCACCATCGTCGCCCGCCTCGTTTCTACCATTTTTGATAGGCTTCTTGCTGCTTTGATCCACCCTATCAATGCGCCATTCACTGCCAGAAACCCAACGCCACCTTGAGTTGCCGCCTTGGACTTCAGGGAGCTCAAATTCATCTTTAGAAGGTGCCGGATTCAAGTGTTCATCAGTCCAAGCAGCGCGCTCGTAGGCGAAAAGCGAAGTCGTCCATCCAATGCCAAGCCATCGTCGCTGGTTCTCATATAAGATAAATGTGAAACGCACACCGGGTGAATCGGCGCGCCTTCTTTTGGTGCATATCTCTGCTCCATGTTGGTTTGGTTTAGAGCGGAATGGGTGAAAAGGCAAGAAAGAAAATGCCGGCGAGACTTTAGGGTCCTGATTGTCATTATTAGATAAAATGGTAGAGAATTGAAGTCCTGTGATGATAGAGCATATTCGGCGAACTGTTAATGACCGCCAAAGTATAACTCGGCAAATGCGTGCTGGTTTGGAGTGCCAAGTCAAAATGACGGTCCCCACGGAAATGATAACTCGGCGGGTGGTGATTAGGTAAAACGGTGGCAGTGTCAGGAATATCCAGACGGGTGTGACCAGTAATATCCGGGTCAGGAGGGCAGTCAGAGCTGGCCGAGTTGTGGCTGAGGTGGCCGTCCGTTGAGTGGAGAGGAAATCCGTTAATTCAATCAAGGGTTCTAGCAAAACATTGCACCTCATTGTAAATTCTCTCAAGGATTCGACGATCTCGTCAAGCGTTTTATGATGTTGACTAGCAGTCTCCGAGGTACCTCTCCCGGTGTCCATGTTTCTCCCCAGTCAACCTGTTGAAGACAGCGGCGAATATCGTCGTGAATACATGCCCAATATTAGGCCTGCAACCACAAGGATTGGGCCGGCCCATAGCATAATGGCATCTCCGTATAGAACGATGGCCCAAAACACAGCCACAAGAAGAAAGCTCTCCCACGGGTCTCCACTTGTCCATGACAACAACCCGAGGAGCCGATTTAGGGGAAGCAAGAACGGATGTGAGTATGCGAGGGCACGAGTGACTGCCGGCGGAGTTGCAACTAGCAACGGAGATTTTCTATGGACAATTATAGTGGACCGTTGCTTCGAGGTTAACGAGGACCCGGAAATGCTTGTCGGCGAGAACGCAGCCATCGTGGGCGGAACGGACTCCCTCGAAAGGGACGCCCCTGCGGCCCCATCGTGTTGGGCGTAAGAATTTGGGGACATGGAAGCTATCCACGGTGTTTCTACTGGCATGGTTAGAATCCCCGTGTTACTCTTTTCTAGACGACGGCACCGCGCGGGGAAGCAAGCAAGCTCCGGAAGGAGATGGCACATACCAATAGCTGCCATGCAACACAGATCTGACCATCCGACCCAGGCGTGCTCATCCTGGGTAAGCAACTCGCAAACCACGCCGCAGCTAAAGAAGGCTAGAGGGCAGCTTTGGAAACAGAATCAGTTCGCAGCAGATAGTATCATGAGCCAGCTCTTCCCATCTGATGCTCAGCGTCATTCCACCAAGCTGTCACGTGCCTGCCAGCTGTCGCTGACATGTGAAGCTGTGCTTAGATAAGCGATGCAACTGACTAAGCACTCCCCGAAATTTCAAAGAAAGTTCGAGTGCTGAATCTTCGCTTTTGCCGCAACCTCGCAATCAAATTCGTTGTTGATAACCGCTCCAATTCCTTTCACGTCGGAGTCAGTGGGGTTGATTCGCAGACGCTTCATAATTGCTGGTACAGCACAATGGTATGCATCGCCATTTCCCAATTGCTGGTATTCTGAAGCACTCACCATGACCTGTTTATAGGCGCACCGCATCATATCGCAGATTGTCGTTACAGGGAGCCGGGTCCTTGGCCGGGCATTTGCAGAGGCGTACAAGCAGGCGTCGGCGTCTTCCAAATACGCATCTCATGCGCAAAAGAATGGCTCCTCGGTATCGAACACGTTCGCTTCGTCGGGCTTGACTCTTGACGAAGCTTGCAAAATACTGAACGTAAAGCCACCGAAGGGTGGGGAAGCCAACTTGGAGCAGACTATGGAGAGGTTTAAAAAATTATTCGACCTAAACGATCCGAAGAAGGGCGGGAGCTTTTATCTACAAAGCAAAATTCTCCGCGCTCGAGAACGCATTGAAATGGAGGTTAGAGAGGCAGAGCGGAAAGCAAAAATGGACAAAGAAGTGCGAGAAGGATGGAACCCGAAAGTGTACAAAGACAGATGACGGGCGCAAAAGTCGTGGAGAACAGGCGGAGTTATCCAATCCTATGCCCTGGGAACCCTACCAGCCTCATCCCTTTCGAAGCTCCAATCCACGAAACAGGTCGCAAATCGAATACCCTGTTAAACTATTTTCTGATATTCTTGTGCGTTTTGAGCATAGCATTGGCGTTAGACGTTCCGGGGGAGGGTGGGCGCCTCCCAAACTTTTTATTTGATGCAGACCGTTACCTCTTCTCACGCATTCCGAAGAATGATGCGTGACCTCTATGCGAGCTGCTTTTGCGGCTCCAAATTCAACTTTAACCCCATCGAACTGGGAAAATGCAGCCTTTCAAAGTCCAAAACACTTTACACCTGCTCTCTGGTTATATATCCTCATTTATTGGATGGAAACAATAAACGGCCATCCATCTGATTTAATTTTCTTTGATGTCCTTGCGAAATCTTTAGATCTCAGACTCTTGGGCAAAATGCACATATCTTTTTCTTCTGTTTATTCTCATTGCCAGGCTTTTTCTGCACTCTCCGCTCATCCCCCAGTCCTTGATTACATGCCTCAGAAGACCTTGTGAGAGCTTATGAACTGTACCTTTTTGGAACCAACTTGTACCAATAGAGTGTTATTGATGATACCAAACCAGTTGAAAGTTTGGCATATGTTTGATACGAAACCTACAATTGTGACGTGACAAGAGACTATATCATCAAGCCATTCAAGCACATCTGCTATGTCAAAGTATTGTTCAATTCCAGGTATGTTTTACATTATTCCCTTCAAGAATATGCAAGACGAGATCCGAAACTGATTTGCTATTCGAGTTCATGTTAGTAGCCCAACTGCTAGGGAATTGCTGATGCAGTTGGTTATGCGGATTGGGAAGACAATCCTTCCTCGCGAGCTTGCTAAATATTTCACCAGAGGCTTCTGTCTGCCAGATAGAGATTATTTATTTCAACTGCTCGTATTTTGGCTGTTGATATAGCCACTTTCGCCGGATGAATACACAGATGTATCCCATGGCCTTCCCTAAGAGTCACTGATAACCGGATATTCAATTGTTTATTCTAGGTGAGTTTTCTTCGTCAAATCCGTGTATATTATTGCAATAACCTACAGATAACTATCTTGTGATAAACCGATTCCTGACGGCATGACAAATAGTTCAACATAGATCACAAATGCAGAGATCCCGATGCAACTACAGCCATGAGATGCGCAAAGTTAGTTACAAATTGAAGTGCAACGTTAAGTAACAATAGGGACCTGAGCATCTATAACCATCAAATGGGACAGCTTAAGTTAATTCCCCCGAAACTTCCGCGAGCGGTGCAGCTCAAAAACCGACCGGAGGGGCTGCTTCTTACAAAGTCGTTATTGTCTTACCTTGGCAGCCTGTCACACGGCAGCAGATGCCAATGTACATACACAGCTTCTATCCCAAGACTGAGATGTATTGCTTCTTGCATCATCGTCACTTAAGCTTCCCCCGTGGACCGATGCGAAAAGCATCACGATGGCATGTCTTGAAATACTATGGGTGCGGGTTTGTCGGCTACGGCAATTCATCAGACAGGTCAATTCAGGCATGAATGATGGTCCAGCCACTGGGCCTTTCTATCTTGGTCAAGTTTTGGCTTCAAGGTGTTGCACACGTTACGATTCTTGAAGCTTCAAGGAACCCAATGAATGACGCCATGACATCTTTCGATGATTTTAACGCGCAATGTTGTCCTGCTGCCGAGTTCGAACTGCTCATACAGTGGCCGCGATCTTGTTGTCTTGTTCGATCAATTCTTGATGCTCCTTTGCTAATCCCTGAAAAGGCCCCCTATCTTGTGGTCTCACAACCACATCCTCTTTTTATTCAGGTAGGCAACATGACTCCAGGAGCAATAGATAGTGTGTCTGCGGATAAAAAGGCAGCGCCTCGATATCTAGAAGAACTGTGTGACGAAATTGATAAAGTCAATGCATTCAAAGCGCTCGCCCGGGAACGGAGTCTTTATGCACCATCCGAATTTGATAAAGACAAAGATAGATCCCAGTTTAGACAGTACGAAGAAGCTTGCGAAAGAGTCAGGGAATTCTATCATGAGCAGCACACCAAGCAAACGGTTGCATACAATCTCAAAGCCCGAAATGATTTCCGCTCAAAGACTCGCGCCAGATTGACTGTTTGGGAAGCGATAGAGAAACTCAACGTGCTCATCGACGAATCCGACCCTGACACTGAGCTTTCTCAGATTGAACATTTGCTCCAATCCGCAGAGGCAATTCGACGTGATGCAAAGCCCCGATGGATGCAGCTCACAGGCCTCATCCACGACCTGGGAAAACTTCTCTATTTCTTTGGCGCTGAAGGGCAGTGGGACGTGGTTGGGGATACTTTTCCAGTGGGATGTGCATTCGACGACCGGATTATCTATGGTTCAGGGTCATTTTGGCGAAAAATCCAGATTACGGCCATGAGATATATGGCACGAAATATGGAAATATATTACCCCGGGAATCGGTTTGGATAATGTGATGCTCTCATGGGGGCACGATGAGTACCTTTACCATGTTGTAAAGGACCAATCCACCCTTCCACCCGAGGCGCTCGCAATGATCCGCTATCATTCATTTTACCCGTGGCACTCTGCTGGCGGGTATACGGAGCTAATGGATGAGCATGACCAAGACATGTTGGAAGCCGTTCGCGCTTTTAACCCGTATGACTTGTATAGTAAGAGTGACGATATCCCCGATGTGGAGGAGCTCAAGGTTAGTACGTAGTCCATAGGCTAGCATGGCGTTTTACTGACGAGAAGTTTAGCCTTATTATCTCGAGCTTATCGATGAATACTTTCCACAAAAGGTCCTTCGTTGGTAAAAAGCCAATGCTGGCTTCGCCGTTGAGAATTTATATATATATTTTCTTTTTCTCGCACGGGTGCATATGCATATGTAGATGCATGTACTGTACATACGGATCATCCGTGCTGGTTCCCGGGATGCGTGCACGGCGACCTTGCATTTCATGCATTTCGATATTATGGAACGCAGACGGTTAGCTTGCCGTCGAGCCGGGTATATATTTTCATTCTTGTCAATAAAGGGCGCGAGTGCCGAAATGTGGTTTCGTTCTATATATATGGTCTGCTTCATGCACTGTTTTGGAAACACGCTTCGAATTGGGCTCCTTTCTTTTTTTCTTTTCGAGTCATTCCTTTAGAACACTGTCTGGAACAACCGTAGAACATTGTATCACCATCTCATACACATGGAAGCACGAGACAGCTGTAAGTCATCGCTTCGATTTCAATCCGGGCCGCGTTAGTGAGATTCGTTATTCGTGAGATCCTTCAACAGTCGCGACATCGAATCTCTCAACGAACCCATTTCGCGCCAGCAACCAGTCTGCTCCCCCAAAGGGCCAAAGCCAACAAGGTTTCCGAAAGAAGTCTCGACCATGAAGCCAGAGCCGACGAAGCTCGTATCCATGGATGGTCAATTGCCGACCGCATCTCAGGCGTCATCGCCAGATGCCAACCGTCCTGTGGTACTCTGGCGGGGTGAAGCGGTGCCACGAGAGACAGCGGGACTTGCCGTGAAGACAAAGAAACACGGTGCTTCTCGTCAGTTGATCCTTTTTAAGAGACGCCGTTTTTTTCATTTCCTTTTCCTTTTCTTTCCTTGTATCTTGCGTTTCTCCTTCTGGCCCTATTCTTTCTAACTTGTGAGGGTCGTTACCTGGGGAAGAAGCTTCAACGTCCACCATGTCTACGATCACTGATATCCGGTTTCGATTGAACACGGGCGCAGAGATTCCAGCCCTTGGATTAGGTGAGGAAGACTTTGTTTGGTAGCTTATTGCTTGGATTTGGCAAATCGAAAACTAAACTAGAACTGTATAGGGACCTGGCAATCCCCTCCAGGCCAGGTTCAAACGGCGGTTTACCATGCGCTCAGGGTTGGATACAGACATATTGATGCGGCACTCTGCTACCAAAATGAAGCAGAAGTTGGCGAGGGGATAGGGCAGGCTCTCAAGGAAGGAATAGTCAGGCGAGAAGAGATATTCGTCACAACGAAGCTGTGGAATACGTATCATAGGAAGGTAAAAGAAGGCTTAGAAGCGAGCCTGAAGAATCTAGGATTGGACTACGTGGATCTGCTTCTGATGCACTGGCCTGCACCGATGAATCCGAACGGTAGGTCTTTCAGCCGTTTATTTATCTTCCAACTGAGCTCACCAGTGTCCTCAGGAAACCACCCCCTATTCCCTACGCTTCCTGACGGTTCACGAGACATTGACTGGTCACGCTCCCACATCGACACCTACAAGGACATGGAGAAGCTCCTCGGGTCGGGGAAAGTGAAGGCAATTGGCGTGTCCAACTACAGCCTTCGTTACCTTCGAGATCTAGTTTCCCATGTCTCAGTTGTACCCGCGGTGAACCAGATTGAGAACCACCCGCTGCTACCGCAACAGGAGATTGTTGATTTCTGCAAGGAGAAGGGGATCATTGTTACCGGATTTAGTCCGTTAGGGAGTACAGGCGGCCCATTGATGGCGAGCGAGGCGGTGGTTGAAGTTGCGAAGAGAAAAGGCGTTTCGCCCTCGACGGTACTATTGAGCTGGCACAGTATGCGACCTCATTTTCTTGCCTGCTTCGATTCTACTTCAACTGCTAACCAACATGGATTCCGTCTCTTGTAGCCGCCCGCGGGTCTTGCGTAGTGCCAAAATCCGTCACGCCATCGCGCATTGAGGCAAACCACCATCTCATCCAGCTAGATGAAGCTGACATGGCGACAATCGCAAAATTCACGGAAGAGTCGGTGGCGAAGAATGGGTTCACGCGATATGTCTATCCGCCATTTGGGATCGACTTTGGGTTCCCGGACAAGAGTGTGAAGAAGAATTGAAGTTTGCTTTAGCCATGTATTCTATTAGTCCGTTCAGCATGTAGAAAAGCATCGCATATCTAGGGGTTATACTGCCTGCCGGCGAGATCGGCTGTCCAGCCCCGGAAATGACGCAATCCCGCACGCCGCGAGAAAAGCCGTTGAAAGTGGGGTTTTGGCGTGTATCGCGATGTTTTCTTTTTTTTTTTTGTCGCCGTTTCTCCCTCGCTCGTCCAGCAACACTCGAAGAAGGGCGCGAGAAGGGCCCGTTGTGCCTGATGCTGAATGGAACTCTTTTTCATTGTCCTTGCCAATATCCTCCCCACTTTTGTCTTGTCATATCAGATCAGCCGAGATCAACACATGGTTATTCCCAGCACCGGTACGAAGTGACCAGCACCGCAGAGCCCATCTTCCCGTATCCTTGAAGGCATAACGAGCGAGAGAATATCCGTCTTTTCGAACAAGCAGTGGGCAGCCATATTCAGGAAATTCCTTCGTCATCCCGCTTTTTCCGGGATTTTAATCGCGTCTCCCAGTCTGCTCGGATCACATCAGAGATACTGGCATCGCCGCCAATTATCCAATTTTATTCTGCAGCTGCAGCCCAATTGTCTTCTCTGCTGGTCAACCCAACCACGGCCTTTTTTAGATTTGGTAGCAGCCAGCCAGATCAGAGTCGTGCTCTCCCCCGCCGTGCGCCTGGAATATCCGAAGAGGAACGGTTGGAGCCTGCCTGTCATTTCTTGCTTATTCGTGTGGCGTGTCAACAGAGTCTCCATACCCGAACCTAAACCATACGATCGGCAGTGGGTTTGATACTTCGTGTTCAGCCATTTGTGACTTGAAGCGAGTGCATGTGTTGGCTGTTGCTCGGCGGGTGGGAGGCATTTTTCCCTCCGTTTCTGTTTTCTTTTGGAGTCTTTCTACTCGCATTTCTTTGTCTTGTTTAGGTTTGCTTAGGAGTTAGTGATACCCCTTTCCTTTCTGTCCTCTGACTCTCCCCAGGTGTATACTCTTCTGTACGTAGATCTAGGTTTGGGGATACTTAACTAGGTCACTGTGTTCCGACATTCTTCTAACGCCACAGAGTTGGACTAGGGGGGAAAGAGAAAGATAGAGAGAGAGAGAGTGTGTGTGTGTGCGTGTGATATAAGAACCTCAGCCAGACTGAGCTGAAAGTACAGAAGCCATGGCGGACTCGGACGCCGGCAGGAAGATGTTGAACGCGGAGGAGTTCCAGCAAGGTTCGTAGCCAGTTCATCTTGGCTTGCGAGTCATACTTTTCGTTGCTTATTCTCCTGCACCTCACACCTTGTTGTTCTCCTTTGGTTTCGTGTTTCCATTCCAATTCCCAGCAAGTAGAAGACACGGAATAGGGGGGAGGGAAAGCAATGACCCAACTGCTCAACATGCTACATAGGCCTGGAGAAACTCGACGTAGAGATGGGAAAAGACCCCATTCTCACCGCGTTTGCGCCCATCAAACTCATCACGGCGGGAGGTTTCGTGGGCCGTGTCTTACCTCAAGAGCCGAGAAAGCACAGACGATATCGACTACCTGCTTGACCCCGAATGGGCCCACGACGAGGAGATAAAACGACCGCTGCACGGAGCCATGGAGAAAGTCGCGCAGATTCTGCACTGGAACAAGAATTGGATCAATGAGGATATGGCCCTGTTCGTGACGCGGAGCTCGAGAGTGCATCTCTTTCGCAAGGCTGAAGAGCAGAATATCGTTCTGTGGCAGGGTGTCAATCTGTGCGTTCTGGCCGCGCCCATGGAGTGGGCGTTGGAGAGGAAGCTGAGGAGGATTCACCATACGGACCGGGGCCGGAAGACCAGTCACGATATGCATGATGCGATTGCCATGTTAAAGCATCTAAGGGATAAAAATGGAGGGCCGTTGGACAAGAATTATATCGCGGGCATGAATTTGAATACGTTCGACGTGCTTCCGGATGATACGACCATGAGTCGGGTCGAGGCAGAGTACCAACAGACTTTTAACGAGAAGATATTCCAATAGGCTACTCTGGTTTTTTTGCTCATCTTCAAACAAAATACTCCCGGTTTAGAGAGCGCAGTCTGTTTAAGGGCGTGAGGGATTCTGACGATTGCATTAAGCGGTTCATAGCATGGTATTTGGATTCCAGTGAAAATCGATAAAGATTATGTCCTGTATTTCTCATTTCATTCAATTCTTGTGTTGACTTGCCTTATTCCAATTGCTTGTGCTTGATCAGCCAGAGATAAAAGTCCATACAGCCATCTGCAGTCTCGAGCACCGCAATCAACGCTTCCTTGCTACCAAACAGCTCCTTTAAACCCACGGTGCTAACAATGATGATCCAATCTGGCGGTGGAAGCTCGCACACTCCACTCCTAATATAGCAAGTTGGGTGTGTCGCAAAGGCATATTCCCTGAGTTCAATGCAACTAGTCCTCTTCCTTCCCGTGGCATGAGGTACGAGTTTTTTTTGCAAACAGTACATGGTCTCTGTGAGCCAGACCTTGCCCAAGCGGGTGAACTTGCCACGGACTTCGGCAAACTTTTGGCAGTAATGTTGGCCATAGGCGAGAGGGTAGCCGCTGAGGCCGCATTGTACCACTTTCTCGAGGCAATCCTTGTAAAAAGTGCAGCTGTTTTTCTCGGGAGATGAACAGGAGTTGCGCCGTTCGAGACGATAGCTTTTACGTCGGACGCAGCATTGCCTGGCGCCTGGGCGGTCATCATCTCTGTATTGGCGTTAAGTATTGCGACATGTCACAGGTAAACGGGGACATCTCATACGCTTCGAATCCTCCACTGCAGCTTTCGTTGATTTGCTTGCAGGGCAGGCCCACATGACTTTCCCCTGTTGCAAAGATCAGTATTCATTGCTCATATTTGGATGGCCAGATATTCTCATACTTTGGGGGTAGCTTTTCTTCACTTTGATACCCTCGCATACGCCACTTCCCCGACAGATATCGTCTCCCTATTGTTTGTGAACACATGGCCACCGTGAGCTAGTCACATGCGTGTAGCCATACCTTGCCGGAATCACTCACTTCACGGGATGACAAGACAACTGGCGCCTGGATCAACGCGCAAAAGGCAAAAGGGAGAAAAACGACTGGCCGCATAATGATTTAAGCCTGTAGCTCAGAAGTGATGGGAATGGTTCCAATGATCTCTCCTTGCATTCTGGGAACAGCCGGGGTATATCAAGTTTCGCCCTGACTGTAAAACCAAGTCTAGGGCTTTCGTGTCGAGCGAACCATTTGGAGCGCGCATGGGACCTTGTCACGACGACGAACGGGGTGGCAGACAGGGCTATATTGAACAAGGCAGTCGAGTTGTGAATAAAATCGACTCGATCCAAGCAGTAAGTGAAAGCTCACCCGTCTTTTGGCCTTCTTTCCAGCTTAAAAGTTCCGGGATTGGGTTTGCTGTAGGGCACAGGATACACCCCTGATTATATCGCAAGCTTTACGCTTGTTGAGATATGGGCTCATGGCGCCTCGTGATGGATTTTGGCAGGGGTTCGAGCGACTGTTTAAAAGATGGACAATGCAAATTCAATGTTGATAAACGAGTCAATTCGACACCATCCTCCTCTCCAAACTCCCATCGAGCCTCTTTGCAATGGGAAAACGAAACGTAGCTTAGATGCACGACAGCAACGCAATAAATGCAATAGCACCTGGCATATATACAGCAATGCCTTTCAAAGAGATCTATGTAGGAGACCCATCCAGCAACCACTGGAAAGGATCGGGTATCAACCGGACGCACAATAACTCCTGGATAAATGAAGCAGAAGGAACGAAAATGCAGCTCCCGGGGAAGAGAAAAGAAAAGGTTTATATCGTATATAGCCATCCCACATTCGTCACGATATTCCGCTTGGCAAATGTCTCGTTCACTCCCCCATCCTCCAGCACCAATCTGCCTGCCGCATCCACGACGTCAGAAGGCAAGTCAACCGTCCAGTGCGGATCGATCGGGGGAACATTCTTCGTCCACGGCGCCACAGTCTCCGGATCATATGGCGGGTATGGATCCTCGTCCCTCTCACGGTACAAATGTCTCCCGTCCCGCCTCATCCCTAGGCCCAACCGCCAATTGAAGGCGTGCACCAGCTCCTCCGCCAGACAGGCAAGGATCGCGTACCGCATAGGGTCAGGATCCTGCGGATCGGGAATATTCTCGAGAGTCCAGCGCGAATGATACCAGAAGTATTCCGTCTCCGTGCCTATAGGGATGTAATCGCCGGACGCCATGCATTCGTAGAGGCGGTAGAGGGAACGGAGTGGGGTGTCGCGCGCGCTCCAGAGCGGGATGCTCCAGAGGTTGTGGATGTCGCCGCGTCGGGCGCGCATGAGGGCAGGATTACCCCATAGTTCGTGGATGGAAAGAGACGGTGGTATGGGGAAGTGCCATGTCGGGAGAGGGAGGAAGAGGCGGAGAAGGGCGAGGTAGGGGTGTCTGTGGTGGGCGCGCAATCGGTCAATGCTGGCGCGGAGCTTGAGCGGGCTGCTGAAGAGGTAGAAGAAGCGACGGATGCGTGTCCAAAGAGAGAGCTTTGGACGCGGACGTGCCATATGAGGGCTGACGGTGTAGCGTGAGGGGAATCAACTGAGGATACGATGCTGCGATTGTCCCTTTTCCACGGTCAGCAACCGATGCTTAAAAAGTAACATCAACTCGAAATAGCGAACTGAATACCTTTCTGTCAAACCGAACCAGCCCAATGGTTCCTGCAGCGGGCTCTGTTGCTGATTTGTACTGTCCGTCACCCCGTCCTCCTTTTCTATTTTTTTTTTTTTTCTCTCCTCTCCGTTGCTGCAAGATGATGGCATCAATGCAACCAGCGGTCAACAGGGGTTCGAACCTTAAGCTGCTTTGCCTTTGCCGCCAGTAGTTAACTAGTTAGTTATCGCAGTTTAGCGGGCGCAGCAGAGTGAGCAGACAAGCAGCATCCAGCTGGAAGAGAGAGCAGAGTGCATCGTGGCGCGGCCCACGGGCTGTCCGGGATGGAGAATAACTATATAACTAGCACTGTTATGCCCTGCCGCACTGCAGTCTCAGCTTGCAAGGGAATGAATTGCCGATCCTGGCTCCCGCCCAAATCTATTTCCAGAGTCCTTCGTTTGCAGAGATCAACTCCGGATCATCGCTATGAGTTCTCCAGCTCCTTGATCCATGGTTAGCTGCAGTGGATATTCTGGCTTGCAAGCCCGCAGATAGACTCGCCAGCCCAATCAAGAGAACCAGCTTCGCAGATTACAAGCTGAATTGGGATATTCGTGACTAACCGCGGAGAAAGCCGAATATTCGAACCCTGTGATCATAAAGAGGGCATGTTCTATCCATTGGCAGCTTGGTATCAATCTGAACAAGGAGCGGTGAGCCCTGGTCTCTTCCAGTGCGTTTAAACAGGTCAGAATCACACAGTGGGATCTCGGAAATGCACGCCGTTGCCGTCATTGATCTGAGTCGGATTCCTCATGATCGACTGCCAGTTCGCTTTGCCAGTTTCATCATGCTTCGCTTGACTTCAGAGATCCCATCAGGGCACCCAATCAGACCACTATCCGCTTCGTTCAACGCGTCTCGGTCAAGGGGCTCCAGATCGTCTTGAATATTAGGCTTTGGTGGCCGCATCCACACCGGTTGAATGATGCCGATTAGCTCGCTGCCCCGATCGTCTTCTTCTCAAAAAGACACATGGCATGCGACCGTTGAAAAAAAAAACAAGAATGCCGAGGAGTTGACCGGTAACCCAAAGAAGATCCCTATAGCTGCTGCTCACCGCCTCAATTGTTGCTGCCAATGCTGAGCGGCCTCAAGGTGGACTACGATATAGTTATATTAGTGACTGGAAAGACGACGATAATTGAATCCAAGCCCTGCCACATAACTAACCGACTAATAAGCAGCGATGTTTCTGTAAGGGTACTTTCTAATGGCTTTCGCCCCTATTGCATTGGATGCCAGCATAGACATCAGAGCCGACCCAGGAGGCGTGAAATGTTTCAACGAAGAGACCCGGTTGAATCAGCTTTTATTTTGGCATTCCCTTCGCTGCCTTCGTCTGACGGGGCACTATTGATAATAGTACGCCCCCAGGCTATGTCCCGTTGTCCATACGGAGCACTTGGATTCGACTGATATTGATATCCCTGCGCATGGCCTGATGACCACCGCTAGCCCCATCCAAGTTATTTTTCCAACTGTCGGCAATTGATTCCCTGGTCCCTTGGCTCTGCACGATCCCTTGATCATAAACCGATACTTCATGATGTCTGGGCTTCTCATTTGCTAGGCGTTGTTGGTCTAGTTAGTCGCCAACAACGTATGGGCTTTCAGCAGTATTCACCGTTGGATTCGCGTCCTATGGTTAGAATCTGGTGGCTTTGTAGCTACCTGCTACGCAAGTTCAATTCACGGATGGCGCTAGCTTTCGTTGGAAGGCAAAGCCTATCAAATCATTCATCTTATTGTACGGTTTACTCCGCATGTAGTTATCGTCTATCTTGCTCGCCATTAATGTAAACTCTCCGCCATCCCAGGCAGTCAAGCAAACCTCATCCGAAACGCCAAATCTTTGGTATCTGCGTTAGCTGTCGCAACGACTCGAGGCCAACGCTATTCGCTTTCAAATATGCTTCGTCGAAGTTAGGCTCTTTCAATGCATCGAGCACTAGCCTGCAGCACAGAATGTCGAGAGGAGTTCATGAAGCGGCGATGGAAGATCAACTTCAAAACCAAGCTTCACTTAGCTGATGATGCGGGATGGCAATACGGGAAAAGCTAGTAT